ATTATATAAAGAAAAGAGATAAATAAATGACATGACTTATCCAGGGTTTGAAATTGCTTAACTATTTTCAATTGCTTATTTTTGACTACGAAAATAAAATAAGCAAAATGTAAATGCAATTGTTGCATAGTAAGTTTATTCAAAGAAAAGAGATAATGATAAATTATATCATATAGATGTAGTATAGACATTGCTATTAGAAGTAGCATAACATATATTAATATGTATAATATTAGCATCATATGTATACTATTATTAGTATCATATAGTGTATCATTAGACATAGAATGTTTCACGTCATAACATTTAATTGAATCAATATATTTTATTTTTCTTTTGCTGTAAGCAGAAAGCATCAGAAGCCATAATGTAAGACTTGAACTTACTAAAAGAACGCTTAAGGAATGAGTTGTAAAAGAGCTTATCTATCCCATGAAATTGTATGGTATCATAGAATGAATGACAAGGAACAAATACTATATTTATGTTTTCAAATTTAAAGCACGAATGTAAATATAGAATATATCAATTTAAAAGCGATGATAGTACTAAGACTGATGATAAGGATTAAGACTCGTTAATTCAAGAGTTAACTCTATTTAGCAGGTTATATTATCCATGATTAAAAAACTGTAAGATCCTCAAAACCGACAGAAATTAATTTGTTGATTGAATCATTTATTCACTAACAACCAAACGATAGCTGATAATTCATGAAGAGACTGTCAAAGTTTTTTTTTATTTTTTTCTTCTATCAGTAGCCTTTTAAAAGAAATATCAAAAACAAAATATATATCATATTTATATTATTATTATGTTGAGGCTAGTTGAGTCAGTGCACTTGAGCACTTTTACTTTCTATTAACTACGAGGTTTCTTCTTAACCCCTCTTTACGCCTTGTCTGGATTATTGTTTATAACTTTATCAGATCTGCATACCTCCCCGAGGAGCTTGTAACCATTCTGAGATTCAATAACGCGGTGTTGATAAGCCTGTCAGTTTTCGTAAATAATTTCAGGGCTCTATACATATTTATAATATAGATAAATTATCAACTCAATTGAATATTTTTGTGGCCCTGAAAAGGGCCTTTTGAATAAGTGGTGTTTGTTTGATATAACGCAATTTACTTGGAACTAGTATACTTAGTGACAGCTTTTGTTCCTTCACTAACTGCGTGCTTAGCCAGTTCACCGGGAAGTAAAAGACGAACAGCAGTTTGAATCTCCCGACTAGTAATGGTGGAGCGCTTATTGTAGTGTGCTAAGCGCGAAGCCTCAGCAGCAATACGTTCGAATATGTCATTCACGAAGCTGTTCATGATGCTCATGGCTTTCGATGATATACCAGTATCGGGGTGGACTTGCTTTAACACTTTATAAATGTAGATAGCATAGCTCTCCTTCCTCCTGCGCTTCTTCTTCTTATCGTTTTTGGTTATATTTTTCTGAGCCTTTCCATCTTTTTTGGCTGCTTTTCCGCTAGTTTTTGGTGGCATGATTTCTGATTTTAAATTTTAATCGTCGATTTGGATTTTTTTTTTTTTTTTTTGCAGTAGGGGGAAAGCATCAAAAGCCACAGTGTGAGACTTGAACCCACTAAAACCACCTCTTAGGAATGCATAGAGAATAGATTCCAAGCAAGGGACCGTGAAGGTCCAGGACTAGGAACCCCATTCCAGTTTCAACGATTGGAGTGAAAACAATTACTAGTAAGGCTTAACATTTACAATAGTAAATATATCTAAGCCATGAAATTTGAAGAATGAAAACGGTGAGACGGAATACTACTTAAATTGAGTTTGAGGGGCTATTTATAAGTACACACGTTGAAGGGGATTACTGTAACCACGGTTGTAAAACGGGATTACAGGGGGAGATTGGGCAATGTCGTCCAGGAGGAGGGATAGGAACTGGGGAGGTTTATGCCTCATAGCGAGTAACAGATCAGTTGGTAGCTGATCAGATCTCAGAACGTCGGGGGGGAGGTTATGGGCCCTAGTAAAGTATCGACGAGCTTGGGACAATAGATAATCGTCAAGCCGCTCGATATTGGCGGATTTGTAAACAAAATTTATACGGTGATGTTTGCCATTAGGCTTGCGCTTGTAATTTATACAGTCGCGGAGAATTTTTCTTTCTAACGCACGTAGGCGTTCCATTTGAGCCGAGGAGATGCCTGACCAGATGGGAAAGGAGTAGGTGGAAAGAGGGCGAATGAGTTGTTTATAGCACAAGAGTTTTGCTTGAATATTTAGCTGGTTGTGGCGTCTTAACGCATTTTTAAGGCTCATATGGCGGAAGGACACATTCTTGACAATATAATCGATGTGGGGAATGAAGTTATGTTTGGGAGAGAACATAACTCCGAGGTACTTAAACTTGTCAACAAGTTTAATGGGGGTCCCATTAAGTTTAAGCTTAATGTTAGAGGGGTTATAACTGCTTGGACGATTTCGTGCATAGCCAGTGAAGGCAATGGCAGAGACTTTGAGGGGGTTTAATTTGAGCTTCCACTTATGATAAAAGCAAGAAAGATTTCCTAAATGCTGGTTTAAGGAGTTAGAGACCCTGGGAGTATAAGACGATTTGGAGTATATTAGATAGTCATCTGCAAAGCAGAGCTGCTTGACATTTGGGGGAGGGATAGGAATGTCTGAAGTGTAGATGTTAAAGAGTATGGGACCAAGTACAGAACCCTGAGGGACACCAGCTGCTACAAGGAATTCCCTAGAAAGGCTAGAACCAACACGAACCATAAATTTTCTTCCTGACACAAATTGGTAGACAATGCTACAAAGGAGCGGGGGGAAATTGAATTGGTGGAGCTTGTAGACAAGGCCTTCAATCCAAACAGTATCAAAAGCTTTCTCAATATCTAGGCTCACAGCCACGGTGGGTTGAGAGTTATAGAGACCTACACAGATATCACTTTGGAAAATACTAAGCGCGTCTGTGGTTGAGGTTTTGTTACGAAAACCAAATTGGAAGTTCGGGAGAAGTCGTTTTTCTGTTATGTGGGACTTAAGTTGACTACCAATGAATGATTCATAAAGTTTACTTAGTGAGCTAAGTAAGGAAATGGGACGGTAGCTTGAGGGGAGAGTATGAGGCTTACCGCTTTTATGGACAGGTATGACAATGGCTCTCTTCCAAGGCCTGGGAAAGTGACCAATGTTGTAAGAGTGGTTAAAGATAATCGCACATGTGCAAAAGAAGAGAGGAGACAGATTTCGCATAGCGTGGTTGGAGATTCTATCCAGTCCAGAAGATTTTTTAGGTCTTTTGGACTTAAGGATGGTGAAGAGACCTGATGGAGTAATGAACCCGTTTGGGTCAAGAGTATTAGTACTGTTGGCTGGGTAGCTGGTGCTGAAGTTAGTAATGCTTTGTCCGAAGTTTTCGTAATGGTCTCGGACAAAATTGCAGACCGTTGCATTGAAATTTGGATTTCCATCACCGAGGGAGACCTTATGATAAAGCTCAAAGGTTTCGCCAAATATATTGGCTTTGGTTGAGTCATCAGAAAAACTTCTGTTATTGATGGTGATGTCAGGAGTGACTTTTTTTAATGCCACAGATCTGCTTAACTTTTTTGAAGACATCAGAGTCGCATTTAGCAGAACGAACTAAGGCATTGAAATGATTATTTCTAGCCAACTTGATCCTTTGGGTAAGGATATTATCAAGAGTGGAAATTATAGCTCGCATGAGCTGAAATCGAGGAGAGTTAGTTTGCCTGAGGCGATATAGCCTACGGCGAAGAACTTTGCGACGTTGGATTAGATTAACAGTAAGAGGATCAAGAGGAACCTGGTAGCATTTTTTAAGAAGGGTCAGTGGGACATGCTCTTCAATAGTTGCAGAAAGAATGCTCTCAAGTTGTGAAGTGACACAGTCAATTTCATTAGGTGATAGGTTCCTATTTACAGGAAGGTCAAGGGAGGAAATCATTCTGTCAAGAGTGGAATTGAAGCTGTCCCAGCAGGTGGCAGCGAAATTTAAATACGTACGAGGGGCAGATAGGAGGGTTCTACAGCCTGTGAGAGGTAAAACAACAGCCTGATAGTCAGCAACGCCACTGAAGTATTTCCAATCATGTCGGAGAGACAGTTGTCAGTGAAGAAAAAGTCGAGTGTCGCATTGAAGCGTGTTGGCGCGTTGGGGGCAACAAGATTAATATTGAGGTTAATACAATTGCTTATATACCAGTTGTATAATCTGGTACCATTAATGCAGTTTTGAGCGTTATTCCAAAAGTAGTGTTTACTATTGAAGTCACCTCCAATAACAAATGGATTTGAAGAAAGGTTTATTAATTTAGTGAGGTCATTAGGGTCAATAGATTGGGATATAGAGGGCGTGTAATACACGCAGAATAAATCAACATTAAAGTTATTTTCGAGGAGAAGAGTGATACCGCAAGCTTCAAATGAGGAGAGTTGAGGAATACGATGTTCGGAAAAAGCGTATGTTGCCTTAAGAAGGATTGCAACCCCTCCACCAGGACCAACCCTATCGAAACGGACGACATTGTAACCAGAGAAAGTAAGAGTGAAACCAGGATTGATTCTGGTTTCAACAGCAAGGAGAACATCAGGCTTACTATGCGTAAGAAAGTTTTGAAAAACTTCACGCTTAAGCTCTGAGCGGAGAGAGTTTACGTTTATAAGAATAATCTTAAGATTATTCATATAAAACGAATTCAAATACTTTACGAGTGAGGAAGGCCTTACGCTCTACTTGTGAGGTGAGAGTGGAAAATTGTTGCTTAATACTTAAAGCAAACGAAAACAATGATTCAATATCAGGCATATGAGAGCCAATATTTGCGGCTGAAGTGCCAGGGGATTTATGAGAGCTATTAATTGGAGCAGGGTGGGAAATTTTTTTTGGATTGAGAGGCTGAGCAGCGGACGCAGAGGACGCAACAGTGCGCGGAGGAGCACTAGAAATCGCAGCCATAGAAGCAAAAGAGGAACCAGGCTTAACAAAATTAGTCGGAAGACGGTTAGGGGTTTCAGCCGTTGAGGCTTTAGATTTGGCATTGCGAGAAGCACGAAGCTCTTTAAATTTAGAGCACCTGTAATTTGCTGGGTGGCCAGTCTGACCACAGTTACAGCATTTGGGAAGGGTCTCCGGGATTTGTTGCTTTGTTACTGGATCAAAGGCTTTAGGCGGAAGGGTGCAAGCCCCTTTAGAATGCGAGCCACCACAACGGACGCAACGAGAGGGAAAGTTGTAGAATTTGGCGGTATGGAAGTACCGCTGGCAGTTTGAGCACTGAGGCGCTTCAAGATGAGCTTTGCGCTCAAATTTGACAATAAGATTTAATGATGGAAGCTTGGTGATGCTAAGCAGCATAAGAAGGTCCATATTAGGGGCTGGGTGAAGTTCCCAAATTGTGGAGTTATTATATCTCTCAGGATTCTTAGCTATGAAGCGCCCTGGAGGCCTAAATTTAGCAACACGAGTGAAGCTGAACTGAGGTAAATCTACAGCTAATGCTGCCTTGAGATCTTCCTCATCAAATGAGGAAGGGAAATTTTTCAGAAGAACAGGGGTTATCTTGTCTTCTGAGGGAATGGGAGCGAAACTTGGAATTTTGAGGTCTTTAAGGACCGCGTTTATTTTGTAAAATGTATCTTTACATTTAGTAAGGATACGAAAAGTTTTACCATTAATGGCTTTGCACTCGTATGCAGAGTTAGGAAGAGCAGCTTTGATGCTGCTGCGAAGTTCTTTAATATTAACATCACGAACAGTGATAGCTGGGGGAGTTTTGCCACTAGTTGGCATACTTGAAGGGGGAGGAATGGCCGTGTTGCCACCAGCTTTGGCAGCCGCTGGCAAAGGGCGCGAGGAAGCAAGACGAACGGCAGATGTCGTAGTAGTAAGAATGGGAGCATTAGTTAAAATACCATTAGATTTGGGCACTGGAAGAGCTGGGAAATTTGCTGCGAAAGCAGCATCAGAAGAGGCGGGAGTGGCTGTAGCAGCCGATAGGCCAGATGGAGTACTGATCTCTTCTTCTTGAGGATCAACTTCTAGATCACTAGAGTAATCAGCGTGAAGCATTTGTTTTAGAGATGCATTTTCATGCAAAATAGCTTGATAAAGCTTTTCAATTTCATTGAACCTTTTAGAAAGGACTAAAAATTTTTTTTTGTAGCTGATGTTTTTTTTATCTTTTTTAGGCGAAGATGTTTTGCGCCGTTTAATAGTGGAGTCAGGCTCCGATTCAGAGCTACTGGCGCTATTTGAACCTACACCCTCCACATCCATAGGAACAGGAGGTATGCAGACAGACAGACCGGAAATACAAGAAAATTAATTTAAAATATAATTAAAATATATAATACCATATACAAGTGTGTGGCGCTTTTTAGCCAAGCACCCTGAAAGATATTCCAATTCCTCCATCTGGGAGCTCCACCCAGCTCCTGGTATGGATCTTCCAATGCTGCTTAGCATTAATAAGCTTCCTTCTCTTAATTTAATTATTAAGTTCGAGCGTAAAGCTCATTTAAATGCGCCCCAGTGCTCTAACTGTCAGCGGTACTACCATACCTCCAGATACTGCAACTTCCCTTCTCGTTGTGTCCGTTGTGGTGGTCCGCATTCCAAAGGTGCTTGCACCCTCCCACCTAAAGCATTCGACCCAGTGACTAAGCAACAAGTCCCAGAAACTCTTCCTAAATGTTGCAACTGCGGTCAAACTGGCCACCCAGCCAACTATAGGTGCTCCAAATTTAAAGAGCTCCGTGCCTCTCGTGAAGCCAAATCCAAAGCTTCAGCGGCTAAAATCTCCAACCGTCACACAACCAACTTTGTTAGGCCCGATACTTCCTTTGCCTCTATGGCTGCAGGCTTCGGCGTTCCCCCGCGCACTTCTGCGACGGCTGTCCGGCCGCCAATCCATGGCCAATCCCATCCTCCCCCCACTTCCAATATCCTTTCCAAATCCCCAGGCATCCCCGCCACCATTGGTATGCCTGATATTGAATCTATGCTTTCGTTTGCTTTGAGCATCAAGCAGCAATTTTCTACTCTTACCTCGCATGAAGATCGTAAGGCCTTCCTCACGCGAAAAGTTTTCGAGTTCGTTTTGTATGAATGATCTTAAGATTATTCTAATTAACGTTAACTCACTTCGCTCGGCGCTCAAACGTGAAGTCTTCCTAAACTTCCTAAAGCGTAGAAATCCTGATATTCTCCTGGCAGTTGAAACTAGAATCAATCCTGGTTTCACTCTCAGCTTCTCTGGTTACAGTGTCGTCCGGATGGATAGGTTGGGTCCTGGTGGGGGTGTTGCAATTCTACTTAGGGACACATTCGCTTTCTCCGAGCTCTGCATTCCTCAACTCTCTTCTTTCGAGGCCTGTGGCATCACTCTTCTCCTCCAAAACCACTTTAATCTTGACATCTTTTGCGTCTATCACGCACAGTCTATTTCTCGCTCCATTGACCCCAACGATCTTAGGAAGCTGATATCTCTTTCTCCTAACCCGTTTGGTATTGGAGGTGACTTCAATAGCAAGCACAGCTTCTGGAATAACTCCACTAATTGCAGTAATGGTACTAGGCTATATGACTGGTACATCATTAACTGCATTAATTTAGATCTCAATCTTGTAGCACCTAGTGAGCCAACACGCCTTAACTCGACCACCGATTTCTTCTTCACCGATAACCTACTCTCCGACCTACTCGGTGACACCTCAGTCATAGATGGCGTCGCTTACCATTAGGCTGTTGTGTTGCCTCTCACCGGCTGTAGAGCCCTTCCTCTTGCTCCACGCACTTACCTAAATTTCTCTTCCACATGTTGGGATGACTTTAACTCTACCCTTGACCAATTGATTTCTTCCCTTGACCTACCTGTTCACAGGAACTTATCCCCTACTGAAATCCATTTCGTCACTTCTCAACTTGAGAGTTTTCTCACAACCGCTATTCAAGCCCATGTTCCACAAACCCTCCTTAAAAAGTGCCACCAGGTTCCCCTTGATCCTCTCACTGTCAATCTAATTCGTCACCGTAAAGTTCTCCGTCGCAGAGCATATCGCCTAGCTCAAGCCAACTCCCCCAACCTTCAGCTCACTCGAGCTATATTATCTACTTTCGACAGTATCCTCACCCAAAGGATCAAGTTGGCTAGAAGCAATCACTTCAATGCCTTCGTCCGCACTGTCAAGTGCGACTCTGACGTTTTCAAAAGAGTCAGACATATCTGTGGCATTAAAAAAGTCACTCCTGACATCACTGTCCACAACAGAAGTTTCTCCGATGATCCTACTAAGGCCAGTATTTTTGGTGAAGCCTTCGAGCTATACCATAGAGTCTCTATCGATGATGGAACCCCCAACTTCAATACCTCCGTCTCCAACTTTGTCCAAGACCTTTACGGTAACTTCGGGCAAAGCATTACCAATTTTAGCACTAGCTACCCTACTAACTGTGCCAATACTCTTGATCCAAATGGTTTCATCACTCCT